GTAAGTATCTATCATGTGATAACTTCAGTTTAGGGGTTAAAGTATACTGTAAAATGTTTCATCTAATGTTTAGTTTCTGTCTTCAGTAGATGTTAAGTTCGTTCGCTAAAATTCGAATTTCATTCCATTTTTTTCTTCAAAATTGATACATTTTTAATCAGACTGTAACCAAAGTAAGAACATATTTGTGATTTGTAATGTCACAATATTGGCGGAAAATCATATTTTCTGTGAGAAGAGGATGTTATTCTGCTTAAGATTAGCGTCATTTTGCAATGCATCATTATGCTATGCATGCATGGTCATCATAAAGTGATTGTTACGTCATAAGCGAAATGACTGCAAAAGTCAAAATGTGAGCGAGAGGTGGATGAAGAAAGAAAGAGAGAGAGGGAAAGGAAAATAGAGAGAAAGAGAAAGAGAGAGAAAAACTAAGAGGGAGAGATGTGAACCCTCAAACTTGTATCACTTTCATCTTCGATATACCTTCGGAATTATAACACAATATGTCAGAAGTCAACAAACTTGGCGGGAAGCAACGTTAATATGATCGCAAGTCCTACATACCGGTCGACCGTCTGCTCTCTGTCTCCTCTACGGGTCGATCGAACAATTTACAATGCATCATACACTCCTAAACATATTGGTTATCGACATGTAATAGATTCTAAGCAGAAGATTTCCGACTTTTCGGCGCCATACATTCTTTCTAACTCAAATCCGAGCTGTGTTGGTGTTTTCTCCTCTCTCTCTCTCTCTCTCTCTCTCTTTACCTCTTTCTATATCTCCTACTGTCCCACTTTCTTTCTTATATCCATTTTTTCTTCTAAAACACACACAATAATTTTCTATTTTTTTCTATAAAGAAAAAACACAAGTACACCTATACAAACACACCCACCCCTTCTTCCCACACAAACAGACAAAACTAAAACAATAATACACACCGTTTTTCTATCCCAAGTTCATTTTCTACATCCGTCTCTGTTTAAATCACATTTGTCCATCAGTTTTTATCTGTCAATTCCCTTAAGCTTCTGTCTGTTTTTGTCTCTGTCGCTCGTTTGTTCCTCTTTCTCTGACTTTACCCTAACAGTTTTACGCTCAAAGAATCTAAGGTGCTTACTAAGTTAGAGTGTTACCCAAATAAGGTTGCTTGAAAATACAGCATATTTCAGTGAAGTACAATTTACCACCTATATATTTAAGATTATTGTCATCGAACTAGAACTGCTTTATCGATTACTTTTAAATCGACTGCACTAATAAAATTATCAACTTACGGTTAAATCACTGAAATACAATTTGAAAAATATCTTTTTTTCCATTAACCTGATTGACTTTCAGAACATTTAGAACAAACCGACAGTGATCAATTTTAATTTATAATTAGGCCGTTTTCATATTAAGAGGTTCCAGGCATAATTGTTCTAAAAGTCATTACTTAACATAACAGAACTGATGTCTTTGATGTGGATTTTCTCTGTTAGTCATTTCACAAAGAATCTTTTTTAAATATTATTATTTTTCAAATTTACGTATTTCAACATTATCATTGTCAGAGTTAATTATTTCTTGATGCAAGAACGTTTCTAGTCTTTATTTTATTCTAGATTATTCATTCACGGTCTCTTAATTCACCACCTCCTTCCTTATATTCTCCCTTTTTGTCTCACTGCCTCTCTATCTATCCTCCCCTCCTCTTTAATAAATATATATTTCATGTTTCATACGCTACACAAAATCATAAGTAACGTATCACAGTTCGTATCGACGCGTATCAATTTCACGGGAAAGCTCTAAAGCGCCGACTACTATTTCCCCCATACGAACTTAAGGAGGGCCTGGACCCCCGGGTCGTGGCTACAGGGAGTGGCCCATGGACTCAATCGAATATCATGTAGACATAATATGGTCAAAATCATTTAGGGGTATGGTATCAATCAGTGCCATTTGGAGTTTCTCAAAATAGCGGGAAGGGCGATTCGATATCTGATTCGAAGGGGTTCTTCTATATCTGTATTAGATAGTGATATCCTTTCCCGCGCTTTCCAGGTATAAATTATAACAAAAAGTGGAGCATCAGTGGTGATGAGAAAGTAATGAAGCTGTTTTGGCAGGGCACAAATATAAACGTTCAAATGCGAATTCAATTTCAAATTTCGTGATTAGTTCCTTAGAAATGTAAATCAAGAGTGTTTACTATCGTGGTGAACAGTATAATGAATGAAAGAGTTATAAGGAGGTACATAATAAGTCATATTTAAAACGACCTCAATCAAATTTTAAGGGAAAGGTAATCAACATCTCAATGTCCATAATATAAACAGTAAGGGTATTAATTTGATCCTCTTTTTATCGTACACAACATAGGTTGTATAAGTGAACAATTAAGACATTTTATTTGCTAAAATTTACATTCAATGGCTTCATTGTATTTTAAGTATCAAGTTGAGACAGAGGAGTGACAGTAAAAATACATTTTCAGTGCTCCTCTTTGCCTACAAGATGGACATAAAATCGAAAATGTATTCTTAAACGAGAATTAAAGGCAGACGATTGAGGGCGACCGACACACCACTAAATAACCTTTTAAGTCCCCACTTCCCAGTCTCTTCGGTTTTATAGACATATCGTGATCGATGGGTCAAATGTGTTAAACCAAGAAAACAAAATCCCCGAAAAAACCAAACCACACACCATTAAAAGAGCCTTTTATATTATCATTCATCTTTATGAGCGCGATATCGAGTGGGCAGTTTGTCAATGTGACGTATCGTCGATGAGTTTGTGACCCGGCAGTGCCCCGGGATGACGATGGTGGTTAGCTGGTCAGGACGATGTCGATACGTTCTTCACCCGACATCCAGCTCGACTTACACTCCAGGGGCGATCACAGGCCAACGATCATGTTGCTCTAGCCTTGCCATCAGACTTGTTACTCTTAAACTCCCTTTAGGGCTTTTTTAATTAAACGAGTTATACTAATTGAAGTGAACGTGTAATGCAAACATAAAGGCTAAACGTTTCATTTAACTGCAAGCACTAATCTTCTGTTAAATTAGGCTATTTGTGTTCATCTAATTATAGTTAAAACTCTAATTCATTGAACAAATAAATATTGTAATTTAATCAATCATTTAGACATATCAAAAGAGAACAGTCGAACAGTGTTGAATGTACATAAAAGACACAAGCTCCCACAATATACGAAGATGTTAACGCGGTTTTAGAATGAAACAATGCAACTATATCATGTGCCTTTTGTGGGTTGTGCGTGTATGTGTATGAACGCGTGAGGGGGGGGGGGTCATGTAGTACTCATCATAGAAAGTCTATACCTCTTCTCCAAGTTCTTGTTTTAAGCTACCTGTTAGATAAATATATTAGCTTATTCTATATGCAAATCGAGTACAAGTACAAATTTTAGTTTCTTCAATTGCAAGACAGTTTTTATACAAATATATTTGCAAGAAATTAAACCAAAAGTGTACATTATTGAGTTAAAGACCTCTCAAAAAAAATGATTGGTCATACTCCCGTCTTTAATGTGTATGTCCTGCTTTATATAAATCCGTTCATAATTATCTATGCGATAAGAAGTAAAAGAACATCCCAACATTGATTTGGATTTCAAACCTTCTCTTCAAAACCTCTTCTAGGAGGCGCAATGGCTCAGTGGTAGAGCAATATTATTGTAACACAGAAAGTGGCGGGTTCGAAACCAGGTAAAAGCGCTAGTGCCCTTTTGGAAGGCATTAATCCTCATTTTCAAGTCCTTCGGGGAGGACCTTAAGCCGTCGGTTCCCTGGTTGCATACTTACAAGCATACACAATCATGCTTCTTATAGCAGTCAGGTAACACAAGCAAACTAACCAAAATCTAAACGGAACTAGTAATAATACAAAGTGCACAGCTTATGATTGAGAATCGTGATAATTATCGTACTAATTTATAACACTTTTGTTTTCATGACATAGTGTAAAAGAGAAGGTGGCGACATTCTACCTCATGAGCTATATTACAAAGGCATATTTTGATTTATAAGTTTTTGTTTAATTACTCATACACATTTTAAAATGATTTCAACATTGACATTCTAGGACTGTCACACTTCTTTAATATGTCATGATAAACTCTTAAGTACACCACAAAACGTATTGAAGAAAGGCATTACTGGGGTTTCCCCCTCCTCCCAATCCTTCTTCACCAGTGTTTGAAAAACAAATATTTCATCGTCTTCCACTGTAGTTATATGCTGCTAATTCGACATCTAGGATTGTTTAAAATGAATCAAAGCTAATCTATATAAATATGTTGATCTTTCGGCGTAGCCCACGATTTTCCATGCAGTGAATGTAAAAAATAAACCAGACATAAATACAGAACTGGAAAAAAGAGACACTGACTAAAATACAAAAAGAACAGAAAAAGATCACAACGACCCCATAAATTGCCATTTTCTATTGAGCTTTTGAAGTGTTAAGTAAAGAAAGTGCGAAAACATTAAAAACCATCGATTTTCTTTTACACGGCTGTCACTTACAAACACGAGAGGTGCGCCGCGAAACACCTTCAATTATTGACCAAATTAACACGCAACTTGTGTTTTTTTTCTTCATCGTCCACACACGGTTTTCCGCGAGCTCTGCGGATCAAGGAGAGATGTTGGCATTGCCATTGAGTTGATGATGAAGCTTCGCTACATTGTAATCCCTCTCTCATCATCATCGTCCCCGCTAAGACCTGCTCGCAAATATCGATTTGTGATCAGGTCCTCTTCTCTCTCTGTCTCTCTCCCTCCGTCTCTCTTTCTCTCTCTCACCCCCACTTTTCCGAGCTCCCTCTGTCGTGTCGAACTTATTCTAGTAGCGCTCTAAAGCATGCATGCTTCACTGACTGTCACGCCGTTTTTGTCGCTTCTGCGCATGACGTGAAATTGTAAAACACCACTTGGGTTTTTTTCTTCTCCTTTCTTTCTTTTCATTGCCCCCTTCCTCTCCATCTCTTAAAAGCTCGTGCTCGATCTCTTAATGAAGCAGCAAAAGTTGTGTCATTTAAAGACGCGTTTGCTTCCTCCTCGCCATCATTATCAAATGATACAGTTGCTCACTTGCAAGGTGTCAAAATGTCTTGGTGATATTTAGCAAAGACTTTTCATATTCGAAGTCGGTATCACATCGGTCAGTTTGTGGAACTTCTTTTATCTCACCGGTGTCTGTTGTGGGCAGGATCGTTTTTTAGAAGTAGAATTCAGAAGTCCTTTTCTCCTATACATAACCGAATTTTGAAGAATTGTTTTTCGACGTTTTGAAAATGATGACGACGACGGACGGGATGTCGGACCCGAGATCGGACAATGAATCCGCGGATTTTAGCGGCAATAACATGTCCGGAGACGATATGGACGAAAGAGCGTCGCTGGACTCTTTCCGTGATGACCAACAGTCACCCTTGTCCGGTTCATCGCCGCTTCACCCTCATCATCACAACGAAAACTACCATCATCTTCATCATCATCATCATCTTCATCACAACAATCACCACTTCGAGCACAAATTCCCTGTGGGCCACGCACCCGTCTTGATACCCACACCACATCACAACCTCATTGATCACCGGAACGAAAGTCACCTGTCATCAACGTCGAGCACAACCAGGGCTTCGTTCTCAATAGCAAACATCCTCAGTGGTGATCATACCTCGACATCGAACTCGAAAACCGAGTCAAAACTCGACAACGATATCATAGACAAGAACAACAATAATCATGAGTCGAGGTTAGAGCGATCGCATGGAAAATCAGAAAATGAGGACTTGTCGAAGCTGAAATCGTCGTCGACACCGACTCGTGGCGTGGTCAGACCAGAAAGAGAAGGTGGAGTCGGTGTGGGTTTGGTGAGACCGACAGCGGTGCGCGAACTTGGACCCGTACCACCCGTCGGCCCGATGATGCCGAATGGTTTGAACGCATCGCCGCTGGCGTCTCCGCTGGCTGAATACCACTACCAGTTTGGTGTACCTCACTCGTTGACGGCGGCGGCTGCTACACCATGGTCACCTTGGTGCCAGCCCGCTGGCTTCGGGAGGCCTCCCATTTCAGGTCAGTTTATATGTCTCTTCTGTGTCATGATGGAGAAGCTATTGTTTTAGTTTTAGAATAAAATATAACATGATCTTTTTTCAAAACAATGTTTAATTACTGATAATCTTCCCTTCTTGACTTTTCCCTATTAATTTATCAGTTATAAATATCACTGTGCCACGGTGCAAAGTGTCTAAGACATTCCGTTCAGGCATTTGGAAGATATGAAAATAACTAAAGATGTAAGAAAATAAATCATGAAGAACTAGTATGGAGGTAACTTATAACCGAGAACAGATAATCCAAAATTGTTCATTTCTTTAAAATAAAAAAAAAGTAATAAAAAGTAACTAATTAATGCCCTATAAAAAAATTAAAAAACAAGTGACATACTTTATTTTCGATATTTCTTTTAAAACTTTTAACCCTTATTTTCAATTTTAACTTTGAATACTGTTTTTTCTTTGGCGCATGTTCCCACATCATAGCATGCAAAGGCTTTATGAATTACAATTGAGATTACAATTGACGAGATAAAGGTAATATTTAGTTAATAGGCCCCTTGCAAGAAAGATTTATGTTTTTGGTTTCATGTAAAAAAGATATGCCCACAAAACGGACAAGGACTTTAATCTTTGTTATTGTAATATAAATCGTTTTAATAGGACCGATATAATTTCGATGACTGGCAAATATGTAAAGGACATTTGTTTTCCTTTGTCTTTATGTCTTCCTTTCAAATCTTTACGCAGTGGATTTCAAATGAATAACCTTGTAAAGTTGTAGAATTCTGAAAGATTATACTAAATTTAGCGTTGAAAAGGGACAAACTGGGAAACAAATACCCCTACCTCTTCTCAAAAGCCGATGATATAAAATGTATTGTTATTTTTTAAATGTTGCTTCAAACTATAAAAAAAATACTGGATAGCATTGTTTGACTGTTTATCTTTCAAAAAAGATTTTTAGTCACTTAGACATTTTTAATATTTAATAAAATGCGTTTTTCTTAATTTTTTTGTGCGTAAATAATCAAAATGTAGTAAAACTTTTTCGTTCACTTAATCTCATCATTTGTTCCATTTTAAATTCCGAAACTCTTCCCTAGCGCTTCTCATGGTTTCTTTTTTTCTGTCCATTTCGTTTTTAATACATTTTTTTTATTCGTAATTTTTCTTGAAATAATGAAAAACATCAATTTTGCGTTATACATAGTTGAATTTCTTTTGCCAAAAACGTATCATTATTTTGCAAATAAAACATTATTATATTGTGTGTTTCTTAATATAATCTTTTTCTTAAATGTTTGTAACATTCGCAAAAAAAATGAAAGTTTTCATTTTACAGAAGAGATTAAATGCAAAAGCACGTTTTGCAAAGAACAGGAATCATAAATGCGGTATTTCTATATTTAATGCACTGACTCTGTCAAAATTAACCTTTCTATTTAGATATTGAATAAGGTATGTAGCTATTCAGCTGTTTTTGACTACTAATAATGTGTGTAGACATGTTGTAGCATTTTCATATAAGTATAGTAAATATACATTTCCTCAAACCTATTAACACAATTGCACAAATGCAATAAACGACTTATAACAAAGTTCTTTTTTGTTCCAAAACAAAAATATAAAACCACTCCATAGTATGCATGAAGAGGAAATAATCTGCTGTCATATTTTACTTTTGTCGAGGGGATTTGTCTTTTTTTGTAGAGCAGGGGGTCTACAAAATCACAGTTGCACTTGCCATATCGCTCTTAATATTATATAATTTTTTAATAATAAGTGCTTAATCCAGTTGCCAGATTTCTATAAACAGTCACCTATGTATAGTTTTCATTTTAATGTAACCACAATTGTCATCCCTTTATTCAAATGCTACAATGGGAATAGAAAATAAAGTTAGCAGATTACTCAAAATGGTTTAAGATCACCAACCAAATGATTAATAATAAATTTATTCAACCATATCATATTCTTCACAGCCTATGCAATTAAAAAAAATGTTATAGGGCTTTTATTGAAACTTTCATGCTAAATTTTCTGCAGACTGTTCAGTGTTTAAAATTTCAAATTGCGAAGGAAATTTAACACTTTTTAAATAGATTAATTTACATTCAAATCCGCTGTCTTGATACTCAATGGGAAGATTATAACTTTTAGAAACATTGTTGATATCAAATTAATGATTTGGTTGTACGATATCCCCAGACGATATCATTACCTGGATGAAGGTAAAAATCGACTTGCTATACAGACTATGTAATGTGAATATAAAAATTAGGGAACCGGTAAACCCCTCTCTATTATGCATTAGGCCAACAAGCCCTCATCCGTCACAATTAATGTTTCATGACATCTCCCCCTCCCTCTTCGTATTCCAAACTCGTTATTCAACAAACATGTGTTACACGCTACGTTTCACATCGATTAGACTCATCGATTACTGACAATTGGCTCTCAGAATACTTTCACATCATCATCCAATAGAACCTTAGCACCCCAGACGCTCATAATCACTCTCTTTAAAACTTTCCACGCTTTTTTCCTAACCCAGCATTTTTAATCCCATGTTTTTCCGCTTCATAACATCATCCCGACCGCATCATTAACAATAGTTACTATAGAATTACGCGCATGTGTCGTCTGTGTGAAATGTGACTCCTTTTTAATTTTGCAAGAGGATGACCTTCAGTTTGTTTTTAAAGCTTTTAAGTCTTGCTAAATCAATAGTGATCTACACAATAGATATGTATTGATCAGGAAACATAATACACCCGGTCACTCAGATGTCACATTTCGAAGAGAGGATGCGGTGCAGAGAAACTGTTTCCGTCTACAGATGATAAGTCAACATTTTTAACTTTTAGGCCTATCAAAATTAGTGGCCAATTTTTATTACGAAAAGAAAATACAAAATAGGGAAAGAAAATAAATCAATCAAATCTTGTGGATAAATGGAGTAGACGGTAAATAATAGCTATTTCTATGCGCTCTTGTGATTAACTGAGCTAATGATGCAGTTATTTTATATTCATGCATTTCGTTTCGGTGACTAGTTTTCCACCAATCATTAATAATTCAAAACGGTGGCCTTGTTCAATTTCTGTGCCTGCTCAGTCAACCCTTTCTAACGTCTTAAAACCCGCAAAGACTGGCGAGTGCGCTCCTATTCATCTACAATAAGAAGTTATACCGATTACTTGTAATATTATTGATATTTCTCCAGACAGTTAATCTGTTCGCCGTTGAATAGCCGAAGAAAGGGGGTTTTGTTTGTGCTGAAGGTTTTTAAGAGTGTTTTGCTTGCGGAGCTGGTACTAAACTAATAGAAAGCTCCACAGTGGACAACAGGCATGCGACGCTGGTCGATCGAGCCATCTCGGTAGGTGGCTTAAAACCAAGGCCATAGCTTTACTCCAAGTGATTGTTGCTTTGTTTCAATGTCTCTTTAAGTCGTCTTTGACATGACATGTGATCGATGTCAGATCTCGGTCATTAAACAATAATTAGTCTTCAAAGTCTGTATCCTAAATGTGAATTACATATTGGTTAAATCAAAGAAATAATGAAGAAGAAATACATTCATGTACTCTATGTCTATATTAAAACCAGTTGATTTCGTTACGTATTCTTCATGTTTATGTTTTGATCAAACTAAATATTTCAACACTAACAAAAACAAACTGCACAAACAACTTTGATAGTATCGATTTTTCAATATAAATCAATTTTGTTTTTATTCAGCGTAGATCAAGACCATCCTATGCAGTGGATGTTGTCTACACTAGAAATAAACACAATGTCAATTAAAACATATATTTAAGAGAGCATTAGGTTCTGCTCGGAGATCGAAAATACGCAAAAACTTTTTTCACAATTTCGCCCATAGGGTTTTCACATTTAACATATTATATACTTCTTTGTCTATGTGTCAAAACAGGTTTATACAAGTAATGTGAAAATGATGCGCGTGATGATGGTGATGTTGATGATGACAATGGTGGCGGCGGTGGTGGTAATGGTGGTGGTAGTGGTGGTGGTGGTGTTAAGAAATGATGATGATTTATAGCTGTTATTGGTGGCGGATAGGAAAGCGGAAAATCTTATTTACTGTTAATCCATTAAAGAAACAAGTAATTAAATCAACGACAAAAAGCCCATATTATGTCACTGAAGACAAACAAATATATAGATCATCCAAAAGTTCAACTTTCGGACATTGTCGATAATAATACAATGTGGACATGGGTCATGAGAAGGATGTTTGTGATTAAACATGATGGGTCGATAAAGACTTGGATGCTTTTTCATTCTTTTGTCCTCTCTTACTATGACCTTCCTTATGTCTGCTAATAACCCCGGCCAGTCAGGTCAAGACCCCCAACCACTGACAGATTCAATGTTTAAAAAAGAAGGCGGGGTTACGGGTAGCCCTTAGCAACCTTGCCAGTGTCTTTGGTTTATTGTAGTCGGTCATTGCCTTCTGAAGTGCAGGCGTCAAGTTTGCTTTCTGATAACCGCAGTGTGGTCCGACTGCTTATCAAAGGTGTCAATGTAACACTTTTCACGAAACCGTTTATCTTCTTAACCCTTTTATCAGTTTTCAAGTTTGACTATTTTCATTCATCCGTGTATCATTTTGAATTTAATTTCCCTTTTTTGTTTTTTGTTTTTGTTGTTATTGCTGTAATATGACCGCTACTTTGTTACCTTGCACATGATCTGATTGCTTGTTATAAGTACATGTATATTTGTTTGTGCATGACTTGTGTTTCTTTTTATTGTTTGGCTTGGACCCCTTTGAAAAAAAACTATCAGCTGACACGGGCAATCCAACCCAAGAGCGGTGAATAAATAAATCACATCAAATCAAATCAAACTCTAGACGCATTTTTTTCATTATCGCATTTTCATTTTTATGTTTATTTATTTATTTATTCATTTTTTCATATCCTTTTCGATACTTATTTTGTTTTTTTTCTTTCACAATAAAAAAAGAAAATATATTGATCAGCTTTTAATATAATCCTGAAATGTTTCAGATCGTACTCACTTTTATTTGCAATTACTGTAATGATGATCGTAATAATATAGATTCTTGCAAATATTCTATCAAAGAGCCACAAAGGCAAAGCGAGAGAGAGAGAGAGAGAGGGGGGGGGGGCATGCGAATTCTTTGTAAATACCAACACTGTTTACAAGCATCTATATAGTTTTCCAAAGATGTCAATTATGTTGCTGTAATTACGTCTTCCTGAATCTTAACAATGGTGGCCATAATCGAGTATCGATAATCGAGTTTTTGCAAAATTAAAAGTACAATGAAATAGATGAAAATTAGATTACAAATATTAATTTAAAAAAAAAAAAATATATATATATATATATATATATATATATATATATATATATGTGTGTGTGTGTGTGTGTGTGTATATACACTCCAAAGAATTTAAGGTAAATTGCATCTCTTAAACAAGGTTTCATACTCTAAATACGTGTTCAAATCAACTCTTTAATGTTTGCAAACTTCACCCCAAAAACAAAATTAAGCAATGTTTTCATCCACTGTTTAAAAGATTATCATAATGGAATACAAATAAACTACTAATATCTACTTGCTCTCATCGATGGTTTTATATTAAGGAATCTGACGTGACTTTCTTGTAAATATCTATCAATCAAAATGTTCTTTACACTTGTAGAGCTTTCGAAAACAATCTGTTTTTCTACATATAAAAATATAAGACCTATTTGCTCATTTCAAACTTGTTTTAAAACAAATTGAAAAAAACTGAGAGAATAATTGCTTTTAAACGTAATTTGATAAAAATTACATAGGACAAAATGGAACGTTTTGTGTCAAGAACTATAAGGAGATTGATATACATGTATCTTATAAAGTGTTTTAAAACTGTTTTGAATGCATTTTAATTTTATGTATTGTTTATGCATGTGCTACTATGTAATATTTGAGTTGAGAAATAACAAAATCTTGAAAAAGAAAAAGAAAATGTTTAAGAAAAAAATGTACATTTATTCTTCTCCTACATGTATTGCATGTACATTTTAAAACTTGAATATGTAGACATTTTTTTGTTTGGATCGCATTAACAGTTTAGATAATACAGATGCAATCCCGTAAAAATGGAAAAAGAGAATAACAACAGGACAATGTTTAGTATTGTCTGTATATATACAAAATGAAAGTTTAAAAATTTGTTTCAAACGGTACATTTAAAAAATCTTAAATTAAAAAATCTACATGTTTGTGACAGAGGATGTAATAACATTAACATGTATCTCGTCGTATGTAATCGTATATGATGTCTTTTAAATCATTATAGTTGTAAACTTTTTTTGTAAAAATGCGGAGGACACGGATGATAACGATACGATTGCTGTGACAACATAATTATGCATATATATATATATATATATATATACATTATGTGTGTTTATATACATGTATATATATTTATTATTTATGTATATACACTTGGTTTATTTAGTGAATAAATGTTAGGTTTGGAAGTTTAACAATTATTCAAGTTTATTAAACGGCTAACCATGCAAAAGAAAGTAGAAAAATGTCTGGAAACGATTATCTGTGGACAGCTCCTTGAAATGTTTTCTCGAAAAACTGTCATGTCTTTAATATAGAAATAGATGTAGGCCTATATCTTGTAATAATGACATCACATCCATTAGTCATTTCCATAGACCTTATCGTATATAAATAAATATGCACCATTTTCTGACCAAATGAATGACATGGATTACAATTTCTGAAGGATGCCTTGACGGTAGAATAGCTACAACGAATATGAGGATACATTGCACATTCTCTAACAATCTTACGCTCATCATGCAAAGAATTTAGAGTGAGGTGTATTTCTCAAGACACGTTATTGAAACCTTTCCCTGAGAACTTATTGCTGTGTAAATCTTTCCCACCAAGACGGACCCGGCATCTTTCTACCCTCGCGTTCTCTCGTCTGCGTACTGCAGACGACATTTTGGTTCCGATCAATGAATCGTGTTGCTATACAGCTCCGATATCGTACGGTTGGCTTACAACGCTATTACTTACAATTACACCAAGCTTTTGATACGGCTCCGTGTCAAGATACCCTACAGGTAGAAAAACGTATTTACGTGAGACTAATGGCAATGATTGTGGAAAGCCAATCAGTGATCATGATTAGGAGAGAGATAAAGACCCTCATTTAATGAGAAATAGAAAAAGTAGATTAAGAAAAAATAAAAACTGTAAATTGAAACATTTTGAAATGAATGATATTATGTTTTCTATTGCCACTGACTTATGCATGACAGAAAATGTTACAAAAAATGAAGTTTAAAAAAAGGCGGCTGAAAAGATATTGCAAAATCACTTTAACGGGTGAATTCCTCACCCACTTTCACACTTATTCAACAATTTGCGAGAAAGACAATAATACATAGTTTATGGTTTTCCGATCCCATCTCAATAAACAAAAAAGGGAATTACTAATATTATGCTGATAAAAGGAACGTAACAGAACGAAATAATGTCAATTTGATCCTCCCAAGGCTGAGTATGAATATTTCATAATTGTCATCAAGCACGTATTATTGATTAACCCTCATTGTACAGAGAGGGAGAGAGAAAGAGAGAGAGAGAGAGAGAGAGAGAGAGAGGGTGAGCAAGAGATCTGAGGGGCAGTGAGATGGGAAAGAAGCGTATAGATATGTAAAATATCAAGATGAAAGAAAGGAAACACAACATAAAGAACAAAATGAAGAAGGATACAATAGGCACGAGAAGTGAGACCATTAAAGAAGGACAAAATGAAAGCCTAAGAATGATGTGCCATGATAGATTTATTTAAAAGGCTTTTTAAACAAAGTTTGTTCAATTAGAGAGGTCTTGATTACTTTCTCGAAGTGGACCTTGGTTGAAGCATGTTAAGCTACGGTCGCTATAAATAGCAAGAAAAGAAAACACATAACATAACAGGGCAGATTATGGAGTAGAAAAAGTACAAATGGAATCTAAATGACAGATTAAAAATTTCTTTAATATAAATCAGTCTCCGCGTGTGAACTGTGTATAATTACGTGGCGCCTCTATGACATAAAATCGACTTAAATATCTTTTGTTCAATTTCAACATGGCGTGTCAGCTTTTGTCATTTTCAACATTCGAGAGACTATACAGCCCAAATGACTGGCTTCCATTCATTTACCAAACAATTATATTCTAACAAGACTCCATTACTCCAGAATGATAATCTGAAAGGGGTTTGTACTGGAATCACAAAGAATACCAACAATAGGTCAAATTCTGCTTTTAGATATAAAGTCATCACTGGTATAATCCGAAGTGAAAACATTAAACAACGATAGTTGTATCCATTTTGTAAAACATTCGTCAGATAATGCAGATTTAACTATTGATCCATGGGATAAGCCCCAGCAGAGCCACATTTCTTGGGTAGACAAAGTGCTTTCTATGTCTATTTAACATTATTGTGTGGCCCCAAATAAAGTTACCGATAAAGAAAAGCGATATAAATGTATTTGATCGACCTTGGGGGCCATTACGTCGCAACGCATTTTGCACGCCCCATCGACTTTATAAATAGCTCTCCAGCTAAACGTAAGTCTTAAAGAGTTAATCGAACGCAATCGAGCATATTGGTTGATAAGAGGAGGACCTCCTCTTCAAACGTTTGAAAAGAAGTCACTTACCGCGTTTAAACGTGTTCAATTCACACTAATCGTATTGGCAAATAGCGCGTACAAAGCGCCGAACAATAATGGTGTTTTAGATCTTGTATTTTGAAGGAGAGATGGTCAGCCAAGCGAGATGGATAGATTTTGTAGCACTTACTGGTCTACTCACAGTTGACGTATGATAGATGGGTTTCCTATTCTTTAGTCAGTCATGCTCGAGACTTGTTGCTTTTTTCTCACTTCAAAGAACAGAAATCGCTGCCATGATGCGTGAGATTTGTTTCCTTAAGTCACATTCGCAAGGAATTTTTCAAACGAAAGCATACCATTTACAAAACATATTTCGGTTTCTTTTTTTGAGATGCCCACAAAATTTGTGATTTCAAGAAAAAAAAGGTGTATGAGTTCAAGAATACGATCGAATCAGAAGTTAAATTACTTGATTTACTGTTTGATTCGATGCTTTTGGAATAAGAATTTTACTTCCAATAAAAAAAGAACCACCTTTTATGCATAATTCTTTTTAATATTCTAATTTTAAACATCTTTTATAAAAAGTAAGTTTAATAAGAATATGAGTTGATATCGTACTATCCCTCTCCTCAACCCGTATCTCTTCGACCAACCTTACATGAAAAGATCTTAATCTATATCACAAATCATTAAATGATCAGAGGATACCACTAATCAATTTTGATGGCCAATGATCATCAGAGCTATTTTTTTTAATTATCAATAATTTGGTCCCAAAATACCGAATACCATTTTAGATTAGTTCTTCGGACTAACTCAACTCGATAAAGGAAACCGAGTCATTGGGGCAACAGACACAACAATGCAAACAATGAGTTATTCATGTCCATACCTCTGCTGTAAATTATGCTACCCAAGTTAATAGCTATTGATGTCTACTTCGATTTCTTTTTAAAAATGTCTGACATTCAATAAGGTCTATTCTTTTATTTCGTAAAATCAGAAGGATTACGTGGATAAACTTCAATTTCGACTCGCATGTTTTGAAAAGGTATATTTGCAAAAAGAAACGATGTGAGGTTGGACTGTATCCTAAGAATTATACATAAAACACACTGTATTAACGAACTTCTGTCATGAATTGTGTTCTTTATTATTTTGTGGAGGGGCGGGTAAATTTGATACACGCGCAATTGTTCAGAACACCACCAACAACAAAAGGACTAACGTCATAAATTCAACGCCTTGAATAATTATTGTACCGAATTTTCATCTTAGGCCCTAAACCCGTCGGACGAAGACCGAGGAAGCCAGGTGTTGATCGGAAGCCAAGACAGGCCTACTCGTCCAAGCAACTAGAACGGCTGGAAGAAGAATTCAAAGCAGACAAATATCTTAGTGTGAGCAAGAGGCTGGAATTGAGCATGTCACTCAATCTTACCGAGACACAGATCAAGACATGGTTTCAGAACAGACGGTAAGATCCAACTTAAGTTAAAGCGTGTTGAAATAGAAACTTGATCTAAATACAAAACATAACAGGTTTTAATATCGATCCCTGGGAACACATTTTTCGCTTAACTATTATCAGTATATACATGTAGACTAGATAGACCTACCAATACATTTTATCCAAAATAATGTAGAAGAACATCACGTATAAGATTACTCAGAAGCGCGATGCACGTCATCATTTATAAAATTGAGCAAAATGTGTCCCAAATAATTTAAGAGTGATAATTCACTAACTTATTTGAATTTAGTAATTTACAGTAAAATATTCTTTTCATGACCTATTAAATAAATAATTAATAGCTTTTGTCGTAATTAATTAGAAGCATTTTATACGGAAATCGGCTAAGGAAAATACTGCATCAAATCTAACGTAGATGGTAAACAACTAACTTAAGCTGTACCTTATTTATAGAACGGGGCAAAAAAAATATTCAAAGCTATTAAGATCTGAATATGCATTATATTTCTTATGCATACAACAATTTGTCCATGCATAAAATAATATATGTAAAAAAAGCAGTCCTGGCAGAAATATGTTATTCCAAGACTTAACAAAAAATGCAATATTAAAGAAAGAAGAAAACGAAGATGGACGTTATGGACGTAGGGGTTACTGAAATCCCTTTAGCAACACAATTATTTAATCCATATATTCTGGTGAGCAAATTTGTAAATTCTGAATCTGATATTTTTAAATCCTTGTCATTAAATTAATAATTCCAAGGATAGTGTGGTTCCTAAACGTCCTCTGGTAATGGCTATAAAGGTTTTTTTGTTGTCGTTTTTTTTGGTCAATTATTGCTACATTAAATGAATAGGATTTGTTTTGAAGAAATTATTTCATTTACGAAGCAAGGGGAATAAACGATTGAGTTTCATCAATCAATGACGAGAGGAAAATACACAATAAAGAAAAGATAGAAAGAGAGAAACAAACACAAGAAGGGTTTCAAATGTCTTCCAAAACAAACATGACAAGCACATGTCACGTGAGAGTGCCAATTTCAAGGATTTCTTTTCCCTCCTCCTCAATTTTCTCTTCAAAATGAGATGACCCGCAAGTAAAACCCCTTCCTTTGCAATCGAAATTTCTTTCTCGGGAGAAAGGAGCAATATAGATAAATCTGTCTTCCTTCAAGAAAACAAAACAAGAGCGAGAATGGTTTCAAATGACGCAGAAAACTATCGAATTGCTCCATACTCTATAGCCTACGGACGGAACATCCGCTCGCCAAAAACTATCTAGTTTAGAATCGCCGCGAAGGTATCTCTAAAGCGTCTTTTTCCTCATTTCCCTCCTTTTTGCCCCGCTCAGTTTTGTATTGTTTTACCTTACATAACCACTGGCCAATGTAAAGCCTACGCCTAGGCCAGCATAATGACACGATCACGTGTCTCGTGTCGGTTCCTGTGATCTAACTCCAAACTTCAGCAGCCTCCTCTCATTCCTTGTGGCTTTAGTACTTTTGTTTAAATGTTTTCTTGACAATTTTCGGGGAACCATCTCCATACCTGGTCACTCGAGGCAGTGAGACCACGCGCTGGCAGCACTTTATTAGGAAGTTTCGTTATTTTCAGAGATGTTTTCGTATCGAAAATGCGCACTTGACCCGCAGATGTGCGTGTTTTCAGCTGTTATGTGATCATGAAAGCCCAATGGCTAAAAATACGAGAGATGAGACTTTCTTTGGTTACACTCCTTTCGTAACGCACGTCAGTCTCAGTTCCCATCAGACCCCCCCCCTTCTCTCTCCCTCTCTCTCTCTTTATCCTCCTCTTTCTTTCTCTTTCTCTCTCTCTCTCTCTCTCTCTCTCTTTTCCTTTTCACTTTTTTTGGTACTATTGATGCACTTTGTCTAAGTCCTAAAAGAACATAGCTTATTTAGTATTCCCTGCCTTAGTAAATAATAACCCACAATTAAGAAACGGCGTGTCTGCGTTGCCAATACTGTGAAAATGCTCCAAATCCATTCCGTAGTCATTCTACGGTAGATGATACTCTGTGACTTCTTCTGGTCCAGATGAGTGACACTGTGGTAGGTTCTTTCCATCGAACCTCTGCGTTGCCACACTTTCTAGTAGATGCAATCTGAGACTGTTGTTTGGCCATTGCGTGTAACACTGTCGTACGTGATTTCTGTACCACAGCGTGGAAATCTTTTGTACACAATCTGCGACTACAGTGTATCACAATGTGGTAGGTATACTCTGTGACCGTCAAAATATTGTAGATACACACTGCATCTAATTACCACAGTATATCACCACAGTATGTGGTAGGTGTATTCTGTGATCTGTTTGGCCTAAATGTGCCACAGTGAAGTAAAAGTGACAAGCTGTGGTAGGTACACTTTCAGACCTCCCTAACCTCTATTATTTCTTATCTCTGCTTTATACTAAAATTTGCCAAATTTGTATTATATTTATTTCGTAGAATTTTTTATTTCCATTGAATGTGTCAGTAATCAGCTTTAGGATTTAATTTTATGTTTAGATTGTGGCAACACGCTATTTTCTTTCCAGTCGTTTAAAACAAAATAGGTCTAGTTCAAAGCTAAACTATTTCTTCTTTAAAGCACATAGAGCAATTATTATTAATAGTTCAAACTAAGCCCTCGGTACAATCGATTCGTTAATCACAATTAGAGTGCGAAAAAGAGAAAGTGAAATTGGGTTATGCTTTCCTCTGGCAAAGTCTACATAAACACGGTTAAATAAACAAGCTTGCTAGGGCCCTCGTATGCGGAATTAGTTTTTCTTTTTCGTCATAGTTCAGAAGTACTAATTCTGTCGTCTTTGAATTTACATCAGTTGAGGAAATTGGCATTTAGTTCAACGTTTTTCATTAGTTTTGATCCGATGTTTTGAGACTAAACCGTAGCTACGTGCATCTGACACGAAAACCAAACTTTGTACTGCGATCGATTCTGGAGCGATAAGACCAGCGTGAATGCACTGCGCAGCTGTCACGCGCCTCCGTGCACCGCTAAAACGTTATTCGCGCGCACAAAATCCGTCAAATTGGCAATTAGTCTCTCTCCCGGTAGAATATCATCATAGTTTAAGGCACAACATACATCAAATTATTGAAAATACAATCATGATCATGTATATTTTATCAAATATGATTATATTTTTGGTGATTTAGAATTCTGATTTCTTTGACTACTTCATTGAATATCAATTCGGGCATTTTTGTTGTAAGTATGGATGAACGCAAAATTCGAATCAGTAAAATTTGTGTCGGAGAGTTTCAACTAAGACTAACAATAAACTGATTATTCGTCCTCCAAAATCTGACTGACTTTATGACACATAACCGCATGACAATCTTTCTGCACTAGTGAATGTTGAATTGGCAAATTAAATCAATTACTGTGCACCTAGGTAACCGCGAAAGAACGGTGTAACCGATTAGATCCATTTTAAAACCTTATTTTTGGAAGACTTATTCGACAAATTGGACGAAATGAGTTTCAGTGGGAATCATTAAGTAGTCGTCTGCGGTGAATTTGGTTCTTTGGGGGATGGCACTCCTTGGTTTGCATGAGTGACCCTCATTCAACCATCCCACCTTGAACCTTCATCTTGTTTTTAGCATTATTTGATCAGACAGACTGACAGAGGTGGAAATAGCGTAGGTTCTCTCTTCAAAATAATGTCTCACTCAAAATTGGCGTTCAGAGAGTGAATATAATCTTGCCTGTCTTGTATGCCCGACAGGCTAATATTCTTCCTTTTAAGAATCTTCTATATGAAGTTTTCATTTCCCATACCCCCCCCCCTCCCCACCTCATTCGATAATCTCAGTAGCTTTAAAAAATCCTACAAGTGGTTTCCTCATGTCTCTCTTGTTCCTGGCGCAAATTGTTTTATGAGACACCAATTTTGGCGGCAAGCTTGTTTGGAACGCATTTTCAAGAATCAATGCATACCCGTCCGCACTTCCCCATGAAAATCAATACTTAATGCATTTTACAAGATAATTATTGCAATTATTTCAAATATCTCCAGGGCTTAATAGTCACTATTTGCTCGCAAATGGTAATTTTTCACTCTGCTATTACTATTTCGATTGGCGAATTATTGACCGCATACAGCCGGAGATGCTGTTGATAGAGAAAGGCTATTTTTACCTGTCTGTGTAGATGGTGTTTTGGTAAACCCGTTAAGCGCCAAGTGGAGGTTTAATCGTTGGCTTGAGGGTGGGTTGTTTCGCTTTGAACTTTCAATATTCAGTGCTCCATCAAACCAGCTTACAATGAAACTAATGCCTTATTAATCAAGTCATTACCACTAAACAAACTTTGCCCGCGCTCTGTCGGACAAGCGAAAAGCGCCGCGGGTTTCAGCCTGGTTTCGCTCGACCGATACTGACGAGGAAAATATCGGTGATTGCATTGATTTGACGCAGGGCGATATTCCCTCTGGGCGCAGCGAAATTGAAAAGAAATTGGATGACGAAGGAAAACGGGGCATGTTTTTCCCTTCCTGGATTGATGCAGTGTTTTGGGGGACTCTTCATAGCCGATTGGGTGATACGATCCCGCAAAAGGCCGTCTCAGACACATTATACATGCATACAGCCGTTATTGAATTCTCATAGCCTCTCTAAATGGTGGCCTTTCACCCAACACCTCATCAATTTCCTATCGCATAGCCCGAGAACTAACAGCGATACGGGGCGAACATTTTGACTTGACATGTTATACCTCGTCAACATTCTAGCCCCAGCAATAACAACTGACACATCTCCCAGCTCTCATATTTTCAGAAAGCAATGAAAATAATACCACGTGATAATGTCCTTGAGACGCTTTTCTGTTTGCTGGCTTTTACCTGAACTGATGTTTATATCGTCATGATTAGAACATTGGTCTAATACGTCGTCATCTACTGAAGATAGACCTTTAGTTAAAACAAGGTGTCTTACTTTTAAAAGTCACATAATTATACTTGTGT